AGACATCGATTTGCGCAGGTTTATTAAGCCCACAAAATGGAAATCCTTGCACTAATCGTGAAACAGTTCTAATTTGGCATACTTTGTACAAATCAACAATGGACATGGACTGTTTAGTGTACCTGGTCCCTGTTATTAGCCTCTGGCTGACTGAGGCACCATGGAACCGAAGACATTTTACTCTTTGGCAAACAAACCTTTTGTGTCTTGGAGTTCATTTAATCAATACCACTGCTTATTGCTGCTCTTATCGCATTTGAGCTACTTTTTTGGTCAGTCTCCTTAGAGTGCGGAAATGAACAAAGGTATGGTCATTTATTTCATCAATGGAGTTTTTTCCTTCATAAATCTCCGTTACAAATTAATCGGCATTGTAAGCTACTTGATTTTTTTTGATCTGAGAACGTTTCAGTGTTTTGGTAAGGTGCATAACATAAGTAGTTGGAACAGATTTGTCTCATCAACTTTAGATTGATCATATTGGGATTACTTTTTTGTCATTTAGCCTCTATTGAGACTCGATCTTTTTAAGTTGAACTCTCTTATTTTTGTAGTGAATTTGACTCGTTAACAAATCCTAGGGTTCAGGAAGGCGTACTCACTTATCTAGCTCCTCAAAATGGTTACTATCCCGCTTATTCTATCTTTATAAACACTAGATTGCCTCAGGATTAGTTCATATTTTATCTGGCCTGTCATAGTGGCACACTACTGTCAAAATTCTGAGTTACACTGAACCATTTCTGCTCCCCTCCCAGACGGAATTATGTGGGTTCATTATCAATTTTTGCTTAAGAGCTTCATCCCGAAACTGCATCAATTGGACATGTTTGTCCCTGTATCCTTCCCACTTAAGAGGAATTGCCGATGTTCCCACCTTTTTTTTATCTATGACTGCCGGTATTAACTTCGAGATCCTGTTTTGATCCTCTATTTGTGCAACGGCCCGAGACCTCCAATATCGAAGGGAGGCATAATACTCGAGCAGAACATGTATTGCCGGCTTGCAGAAGGATTGGGGCGGGGGGCACTGGTAATGACCCGGAAGCCTCAACGACCAGCGGAAGTACAAAGGCGGTGCCTCAAGTGTTCGCAAAATCAAAACGAAGCGTTAAACGAGTAATCAAAGTATTACATTTGTACCCTAACAATGTACCACAACTTCTCAGCCCTTACTTTTTTGCGTCGTATGCTTGAACAAAGTGGAATGTACTTTAGTGGATCAGTAGATTCAACTTTTATTTAACATCATCAGTGTTCGGAACGCACCAACAAGATGGTATCTCACTTTTCCGAAAAGGCTATTTATTAATTGCAATTCTGTGCAGTGCAGCCTTTGTCGCCTGTTTAGCTCCTAGTTGGATAAAAATGTCCCGTGTTCCGATTTTCAAAAAGCGTTTTGCGACTGAGTCCCTTTAGTCAATTTTTTTACCTAAAGCCCAGTTATTATCGTTATTTCTATCTGCTCTACTTCATCGTTTCCTTGTTCAAAGAACACAAGATTGTAAGTAAAGGAAACGATCATTGATTTTACTCTTCTTTCATACCTCAGAACTTCTAGAGTCAGCTCTTTTGACTTGGCCTCTTAGGCGGTCATTTTTAACCACTATTCCAGATGGCCAGATCTCTTATCAATGCCTTATTCTCCCATCAAGGTCTTTTTACCAACGGGAACATCCAATTCCCGCTGTGTGCTTTTAACCAAATCAGGCATTCCCTATATTTCATTTTATTGACCTCTTAGGTTATGCATTTGGTCGCGTGAAATGTTTTACCCCAGACACCGTTTTGCCTCCTCATTACCTATTCCACTAAGAAGAGTTATCATGGTCGTCAACTTCGAATCATCTGGCTCTGCTAGTTCCAATTTTTGACCCCGAGTTGATTTCCTGCTGTTGCAGTGATTATTTTGACGAGTTAGCCAAATTTTCCATTCCTTTATTCTTTTGGAGTCCGCCATTTGATTGGTACACGTAGTTTTTATTTACCCCCATCAGCTTGTAGTATACGTGAGATATTATCGTATCTCTCAGATCTCCTCTATGATTATACGTATTGCCTATCCTCTTGTTGTTTCGCAGTGAGGTGGCTGATTAACGCATTATAGGACTGACTAAAACCTCTTTCATCTTTTGATTGGCAAATCTTTTTTTGATTTGGTTATTGCTGTTCTTATCAGATTTAATCTACTTTTGGACCATTTGTACTTGATGGAGGAAGTTTTATGAGCCAGTAAAGGGCTAACGAAAGTGCAGTTATTTACACCGCTAAAGTTATACAAGCTACAAGTCACGAAAACGCATAGCGGATCATCTTCGTACATTCAAAGAGCAACTGTTAAAGTACATGCTCGGGGGTAATTCTTTATCACTCAATTATTCGGTTTACGACGAATCCGTTGCCCTGAAAAATCGGTTAGGCCACAGAATTGGTCCTATTCCTGGGTTGATGTTAACGAACGAGAGGTGTGGCGGGACTTGGGCGATAGTTATCCTCTTTCCTCCTCAGTCCGAAACATTTTTTCACCTCCCTACAGCTGTGTTTGTCTTCACGTTCCTGCCCTTACTTTTTTTCTCAGAAAATACGAGGAAACTGTGTACAAGGGAGATACAAAAATGGCATCCCATCACGAATAGAGGTTAAACTAGACTTGGTCTCAATGTGCCGAGGCATCACGCATACATATTCCTCCGAAAGGTGGTATTCCCTTCGTCTTTCCACGGGGCATTATTAGCTGACATCTTGGCTATTAATTGCGAAGCGTAAGAGTTAACGTATACCGAAGATGTATTGAAATCTCGTTTCGGGGATCGCCGAATACATTCACGAATTTAGCTTGATGACCTGATCTATGGGCAATTCTATGCTTCCATTTTTCGTGACAGAAAGTGAATACATCCATGTCAAAGTACGTGTGTGTATAATGGTTCCCGTCGAGCTGAATGAGGTTACAATCTCAACGATGTTTGTCGGGTTGTTGAAATTTGGAAGCAGGTTATTTCACGGGCGCCAGAAAGGAAACAATGGGCGCCTAAATCTAAATTAATGTACTTGTGTGTGAGCCTGGACACTGTCGCCTTCCCAACAAGGCAGAGACTTTGGAATCAACGTCCACTGAAGTGGCCGTTGTACAGTGCACTTGTGCATCCGAGTTTTTGCGCACCTCGTTTTTACCAGAGTGCCGGAGTCAACTCGGAATCCCAACTTTGTGTTCTTTTTTGCATCTTTGAAATAAAGGCAAGTGTTTGTACTTATAAAGTACAACTTCGCGTCATACTGACCAATCAGAAGGAAACGGCATCGCGAGCTCAAACTACCGAACGTTCTAGAAGGCTTGGAGGCAAACACAAAGGGGGGGTGTAAACATCTTCAACGGTCAAAAATTTGGGTTTACTACGGGAGGAATCAATTCAATAGCAAATCTATCTGGGTTTAAGTCTCACCAAAGATGTTTTTGGTCAGTGAGGTGAGAGTAGTCAATGAGTGCGCAGTATATAGGCCCTATTCGGTTCAAGTGAAAAGTCCATTTTGTCGGGCACTGCTAATCTGTATTACTAGTGTGGCAGCCACGTGGTTGATAGCCATGACCGCCTGAAATCGCCTGAGTCGGGTGCATTTATTTTGAGGTGTGACAGCTCCCCTTTTCCAATGCCACTGAGTTATTTGAGCCAAATTGGGAAGTTTGGGACTGGCGGCGAAAAGGGAAGCCGTTTCACTCTTTTTTGATGTAACGAAATGCATCATTTTAGCTTCATACCTGTTTGGTTACTTTTCAGGGTACTTGAACAATTTAACTTGGCCCTTCCTGACTTTTGCGTTTTATTCTACGGGTACCACATTTCAAACACATTTTAGCTCGTGGTTGCTCTCTTTTCAAATTTGCCTTGTTTTGTGAAACTGCACTCGGGATTTCGTGCTCAGTTGTAAAAATTTTTGCAGCGGTGTTAAAGAACATGATTTTTTGACAGGGACTTGGGTGGCTAATGAACTCGCAGCATTGCAGGTTAATGCTCCAAGCGACTTTTGGCAGGAAAATTTAATCACCTTGGCCGCAAATGGGCCGCGTGACTTGTGGGATACCCGACTTATGGCCAGGAGAGTGGATAAGATAGTTGAACTGAAAGCAGTCCCAGCAGTGTCAAGTAGATGTATCCATCTTGAAGTCGAAGCTCACTTTGACGTGTTTGGCTTTCTTTCAAAACCAGCAAATCAATCGGACCTAGAAGTCATATCATTGAAGCTGTCTGGCCCTTACGACATACATTTATCAAGATATGTCTTCCCATCATCGCAGCATTTAATTTGATAGATCCAGTTATTTCTTCCGGATAACTACTCCCTTGTTTTTTTAAAAAAGGACGCCTGGTTGACAAAATTTTTAGATATGCAAGAGCTGTTTGAAGCTAATCGTTGCTCTCACAATTGATGCTCCCTGCGATTCGTTACAGCATATGACAGACCTTCCTATTAACATTGGGAAAGGATGGTATTTATCTAAATTACCACGGGAAAGGCTCACGTCTAAGTCGGCTGCCGGATTAAAATTGGGAATGGCGTTCTCTGAGGGTGGCATTGTTTGTAATTAAGCATAGCAGAGCGGTCTTTGGAATCACGTTGGTCTTTCGGCAATTACTTCAATTTCGAGGTCTGCATCGTGGACAGTGATGGAGCGGTGCTGGACTTGAATCAGTTCAAGCACTTTATACGGGGATAGCATTTTTGTGAAGCCGGTCTTTTTTGCTCCCATCCACTGCCGCCTACGCTATTAGTCTCTCAATCCCTCTTCACGCTTGTAATAAAGCAGCTTCCAATTTTAGTCATCAAAGGAGGGCAGCTGTTGTGGATGAATGAATTTCCAGAAACACGCAATCAAAGAGCTAACGGAACCTTTCGAACTGTTAGTGAATGTTCCTAGTGTTGAATCCCACATCATTCTTAGTAGTAAATTGAGACTTGTTTTCAAAAAGTTCACATAATTCCATTTAGTAACATGATACCTCATGAAATGGTGTTTGAAGGTTTTGTTCTATCACTGTCTCCTAAACAGCGATCTGGCAGCCCGCAACTGTCTAGTGGGCGATCAGTACACCATCAAGGTGGCCGACTTCGGCTTGGCGCGCTATATGCAACTGCATGAGGACACATACACCGCCCGTAATGGGGCCAAATTCCCCATCAAGTGGACTGCCCCCGAGGGACTTGCCTATTTCCGCTTCTCCTCCAAGTAAGTTCTCTATCTACCTGAACTGTATAGGTCTATTTTGAACTGAGGCTGTCGGGTCAGTTCTGTTTGTTTATTGCTCAAAATGTGATAAAATTGGAGTCAAATTGATATGAAATAAGTGTGTTGCATCAGTTTCTCGCCAGCTGAGACGCCCAGTGGAAATATGATCGTCTGTGATGAAAATACTCGCAGTCTCGGTTACCTCTCCCCTCGTTATGCTTACTCCTGTTCTCCATTGTGCCTTTGATTCTCTCGAATACGTTTGATGCTTTACGTATCTCAAATGTTTCTTTCCACCGTTGGTTACGTTCTCTACATGCACAAACTTCTGCCTTCGTTTACCTTGCCCAGTTAGTTACAAGAGACATTCACCCGCTGTAATTGATTGGTTGAATAATGTTATGAACTTGTTATTGGCTGGAATCATGTCAAGGCTGGAAGCTGACTTATTGATTTCGGCGTCTTCCTTTTCTCTAATCCTTTGGTGTTCTGGGAAACTTCCTTGAGGCTGTGTTGTTACATTTGGACCATGTTTAATCTGACTTAACCATTTGTACAGATACACAATCTTTTTTGGGAGATTCCTGTAGCCAGTGTCATATCTGTCCTGCTGACGGTGGGAGATAGGTTTTTTTTCTAAATTCTGTACGCGCGCCTTTTATAATAGAAATTCAAACTACAGAAAACTTCTTCACATTCCATCTCAACGCAACATAGGCTCTTGGACGACAACATCTATAAAGCGTCTTGCTTCTGAAAGGCTGGAAACAACCTCATCCTAGCCATCTCTGTTTCTACCTTTCTCATTTCCCTACTGTCCATTCTACTCCATTTCACATGTGACCATGTAGTGTCAATGCCAAGAAAAGATTGTATTCATCACCCGGAGCTTGGAGAAGTATCATCAAGGAAAAAATGGAGGGTCGGATGAGGCACTACCCCCTTTTTTCCCGTCCTAAGGAGGTGCGATATTAGGTTTTCTCATAGGTAAGTTTTGAAGTACCATAAGTTATAAAATCCTGAGTTGGCTTGTAAGAATATGGCTTCCTTCCGGATGATTTGCTAGTCCTAACTGCTTCTCAACAAGTTTTCGCGACCACCTTCGGAGTATATCGAGGTGCGCCGAGTAGAGCGATTCTATCTGTAATTTCCTGGCCTTCAGCAAGTGAAAAATTCGATCTGGGGCTAATCATGCGGATGAAGGCATGCATAGTTTTGTGGAGAAGTGTAAGATAAATGGTGAGTTGATGATGTATTTCTCCGTTGAACGTCAGCAGTCTAAAGATGTATAAACGTGGAAAAATTAATTGATGGTCTAGGAATTTCATTGCCATCTGTTAACGCCCGTTAGTGGGTCCCAGTTGCTTACCTTCCATCACGACTTACCCATTTGATTTCGGTGAAAAATTTTGTTTATCAATCATCTGGAAGCAGTTCTAGGTTCGCTAATCGTGATTTTTCGTCATTGTTACTAAGAATAGACGGTTTGGAAATATTTTACACACCATCTTTGAATGAACCATTACCATAAGCAGCCTGATGGGCCTATTTCTGGGGTGTACGTTCTACTACTACACACCACGCCATCCCAACTTGGCATACAAAAAATTGTACGTGAAATTTCTGCACCTTTGAAACCGAATTGCATTCGGTTCCTAAAGAAGACAACCTCGACTCACATCGTCTAGCTTCGTCCAGTGTCTTCTGATATGGGGTTTCGTGCTTATGAGGTGAATAGTAGAGGAGACAATGTGGAGTACTCTACTACTGGACTAATACGTGTCCATGTTCACAGTACATCGAAATAATAGCCTTTCACAATTTCTTCCCTACAAGTCACTAAATGCTATTGCAATGGGATATGCTGGAAGCCGCACAAAATTTTTCAGCTATCTGGTATCTTTTGCTTGTCTACATTTAAGCGCGATATGAATCCAATTTAAGAGCTTATCGTTACCTTTGAGTTTGCCCTAATGTCCATCGGATTGTAGAATTCATGTCATGGAGATCCAGCTATAATGTCCCTTCATCTATCTAACCCATCACATTTTTGTCCTCCGTATGATCAGAATCCACTCTAGGGTTCTCTTCCAGAAGGAAATAGGGACATTACTAATTGATTGAACAAACTCGGCTCTCTAATCACAAGCTCCTGTTCTGTCTCCTTTCCTCGGTCATGATAGATGCCCAACCGCCTCACTGGATTTAAGTCAGGTCATGATCTTAGGATAGACAGCATCAAATCAGTGTCGCACAGCCTCTCAATTCGACATCACCTTTTGACCCCTCAGCTTTATTTGCTTTCATTGGTGTTATCTCCTTGGGACCACCCATTTCAACTCACATCAAGGTAGCCCCTTTTGTATGCCCTGTTCTGGCTCTCTCGTATGTCATCTTTGTCATTTCATTTGAGTTCACTTTGAAAATTTAATATCGGTTACCATTGCCGTTAGTCGCACGAAGTTCGTCTCTAGAAGGCTTGCTTACCAGCCATCCATGGGCAAAGATACTGCCGATTTTGGTAAAGATTCACTGCATTCTCAAAGGCCGACAGAACCCTCAGAAATTATCACCGGTACCGTGGCCTCAGCCAGAGTAGCCATGGTCGCCATTTCACCTCAACTTCGCTGGACCAATGAATGGTGTGTCCAACAAAGGCCTTTGCTGGCATATCGAATAGCCAAAATGATTCCAAACGAAACCACCCGATGAGCTGATGGAATAGAAGCTTCACTTGGTCAGCGCAGTGATGACTTTAAGGCCGCATAACGGCCCCGAAAAGCGTGTATCGAGAGCTTTAACGAGATTCGAGATACACTAACTTCTGTGGCCGCGATTATCAGCCAGAACATGATCGGTGAAAAAAAAGGATTAAAGTATTTTTCGATGCCGAAATCGAAAATGCCACCTAGATGGGGCGTGCAATCACTTGCTTCTGCGATACACTGCGGAATCCGCAGCCCAACATGGTACTCTGCTGATGAGCATATTGCTGAGCACCTTCTAGATACCAACACCCCCACTTATGGACTTCATTGCACTGGATACCGTGGGGAGAAGGTCCAGGTTGGCCCGTCTCGTGTTTCAAGATGGTGATCCTGTAGGCTAGGGTGCACAATGGCACGATTGCAAGTCAACCCTAGAAAATTCCGTTAGTAACGAGGGGAGGTGTTTGCGGATGTCTGCAACTCTAGAACTGGAACTTTTTAAAAGTTTATTCCCAAAATTTGTTCCCTTTAGAATTTTAGAATCTTATTTCCACTCTCGTTGACCAATATTGCATTGAGTTACTGTATGGCTACGGGTATTCACAGTAGAGTCAAGGCCATCCGTAATGCTGCAAAAAACGTGAAAATGGTGGCCTTCGAGTACTCGCGCTTCAGTTGACAAATGTGAGCGCAGATGCTATGCTCTTGTTGTAAATAAGTTGTCGATATCAAAGACCTCGTCTCCCCGGAGTCTTATTTCCCGTCAGGACCTCGATAATGTTCATTGCACTATTCTTCCATCTTTATATTGCCAGTGATGAAAGGCAAGTTTGAAGGGGAAAATTCTTTTTTAACACTCATTTACTTCACAATGGAACCCACTTGGTTATCAAGATAATTCGGCTCTGGATTTTTGGAAGAGGCACTTTTTGAAGTACCAATTTAGCGACCCTTTTCAGCGATTAGTTTTGAAGCCCTCTAACTTAATATGCTAGGGCTTTCACTTTGGGAGGAGTTTAAACTTAAAGAAACTTAAATTGATCACATCCTCTGTGTTATCGAGCGACTCTGAGTTTCGTCGTCATTATAGTGCTTTGTTGTCGGGTTCATTCAATTCTTGTGCTAGGTCCTGATCCATGCTGATTTATCTGAACATATCAACTTTCCCATTTGGCAGGTCTGATGTGTGGGCATTTGGGGTTGTGCTTTGGGAACTGGCCACCTACGGTCTCTCTCCCTATCCTGGTGTGGAACTGCACGGTGTCTACCAACTTCTGGAAAAGGGTTACCGCATGCAACGTCCTCATGGCTGTCCTGAGTCCGTTTACAGCATTATGCTGCGATGTGAGTTGCTGTTTCCTCCAGATTATTCTGCTTCATTGAGTTGGTACTTCAATCTCAGTTTCTGCGATTTTTATTCTAGGCTGGTCCTGGGAGGCAGCGGATCGTCCAACGTTTTTGTCGATTAAGGCGGAATTGGAGGAAATGTGGCGAACTATCGATATGGCAGAGGGTGAGCTTTTTCATAGAGTGGTAGTCTCTGAGTTATTCCGGAGGAAGTTATAAGTTGCGGGGTTCTGGAAATAGCTCTGTAGTTAGTGCTTAAAAGGGCCGAGGGACTAGTAACAGGGCTTTATACTACATCATGCTGGTCAAATGGTTGGAGACCTGAAAAGCCTGGGTGGTTATATCCCGTTGCACATTTCCCATCTCCCTCCGGGCGTCGGGTCCGGTGTCCTTCGTTGCCATTTTTGCTTTGGACGCTTACAAGTCTCCCAGTGTTAATTGTAGTCGATTGCAAGATGGAAACGAAGACAATCCAATCAATCTGTTGTTGACGGTGGATTCAGATGAGACTTAACTATCACGTCGTCTGTTAGATGAATTTCTGCGTCGAAGAGTGGTTTAATTGGAAAGCGATGCTTAAGGTTGGACGATTTTCTACAATACTACATTCCGTATGACATTTTCACTGTGTTTTCACTAATACTCCTCCAATCGACTTTCCACCTTACTAGTTGGCCTCTTGTCACGTAATTGGAAGGTATTCGGGGCGTTCTTGAGTGGACTGCATCTATTTCCCAACGTCTAATCTAACTTCATCCCTACAATTCGCGGGGTAATTGCCGAAAGTCGACGGAGCTTCAAAAGGCCTTCCATAATGCGCCTCCGCCTCTTTATTAGTCTGAGGCAAAGGCTTTTTTTCTGTGAAGTTTATATGCAATATCCAGTCAGCAAAAACTGGGTTGTTTTTTGGCTTTGTGGGTTAATACTGCCACCTTTATTGTGCTGTGATTCCTTCTGAGGTTTTATAACCGTATGGCTGATATTGACCTCCCCTGGATAGCACAAAATGACTAACCAACCTCTTTCCCCTAAACAAAAAGGGATTTTCTAATCCCCAAAAGTATTATATTTTTCACTCGCACCGACAACCGGCTTCCGTCTACTCCACCTTTCCATCTCCGCTGTGACTCATCGTCCTTCCGTCACTCCGTGGTATTCCCTCATTGATGGATAGCCCGGTTTAGGCAGAACGTTTCTCGCCGCCACGGTTCATGTCGGTAGTTTGATATTTGCTAAAAAGGAAAAAATTGCGGTCGGGAATAGTCCGAAATTTAGTTTGAGGAAGCCCTCGTCCCATTTGATTTGTACCAAAGGCTTCTTGGTTAAAGTGTACCCCATTGAGGTTAATTAACCCCTTCTGAATCTGCCTTTTCTCGGGTTGCCATTTCTGATTGTAAGCAGCATCATAGATACTCGCTTCTCAGTTCAGTTTTTTGGGCTATCACTTTGTGTGTTAACGTCTTTTTTAAATGAAGTCTTCATAAATTACCAGTTTTCGGCCGAATTCCCAATGAATTCGACCACACATACCCGCATATAATCTGTTTGTTGGACGTCTGATTCTGGATACTACTTTTAAATACTTCCTTTAATAGCTAGGATTAATGTTGGCCTTGCAATATTGAGGGGATGATTGCATTCACCAAAGCCAAGTGCCTTACACTCCTCTCCTCGGTGCGTGTTCAACTTCAAAACTAGTTGACACTTTCGAATTCTGCTTATGTTTTTGCTTCTGTCTACCGGTGAAAATTCCATTCCCCTGACAATTTACATAGCAAAAATCCCCTATTTTCATCCCCTTATTCTTGAGCGATTTTGCGAGGTGTCTTGAACTTTGCGAAGTCGAAAGCAGTCCTAGTATTACCATCTTCTCCAAAGTTTCTCCTAATTGAGAGTCACGATGCTATTTATCTAGACGTCTAAGCGACCTGGCCTTTCAATGAGCATTGGCGGACAGTTAACTCCGTCGTAAAACTCACAAACGGAGTAGTAATAGTGCAAGTCCACAATAGGCGTTATTATTACTCCAACCTTTCTTTGGAAATGTCGCCCTCGTGAATTTATGGGCGAGGTAGTGGGAAATTCAGGCGTCAAATAAAGCGAACCCACACCGCTATGCGGTCAGCTCAAAATGTCGAATGACGCGCTTGGCCAGTGAGGGTATGGCCCCTATGCAATCGCACTTTCCCGATCAGGGGCAACACAAGCTTAAATATCGTTGCATAGGTCGAAATCCGAAATCGAGTTTTTCCATCGGAGGGTCAGGCAAGACAACGACCCCTTCTTGTGTTGCTCTAAATTCAGTTAGTTATGAGGTATGAGAACGACAGCTAAAATTTCTATCAGTTTTATATCTTCTTTAAATAATAAAAGTGGGAGGAGGAAAAGGGGTGGTGATTGCTCGTGTCGTGGCGCGCTATGCGGCTACTTTTCGCCATGCTACCCGAACTCAGGGGATTACTAAACCACTTATTACCCGAATGTGGAGGTAGCTGTTAAAATCGCAACAAAAGGTGGTGGATGACATTCTCCCATCCGTCAGGCATTTTGGACAGAATGGGCGCGACCTTACTCATGATCTCATCTCTGGCAGCATGTGTGGTCAGCATGCGGCCACGGTTACGTCTTGTAGGGCCATAAGTGAATTGGGGAATTTAGGTATGGTCGATTTGGTTTGACGAAGAGGAATCTAAGGAAGAGCAGTTAAAGAGACTATCTGCTGAATCTACCAATGCTCCAATTCATAACAGCTTCATGTTCAGTAAAACAACTTTCTTTGTCAAAGAGAGTAACAATTTCCCTTAGCAGATTTTTATGAAGGGAAGTTACATTTTGTTGAAACGAGCAAACACGAACTCAAAATTGTCGTCCTTTCACTCTTTTCTTTGTCTTTCAGCTGTAGCTCAAGAGCTGGCCACTCCGCCAGCAGCCCAAACCACAGACCACATGCAATTCATCACTGCCACCTCTACCACCGCCACCGCTACCACCACCATTACCACCGCAGTCGGTGTTGGCCCTGGTATCGACGGCGGGGGCGAAGCGATGATGTCTCCTGTCCCCGTTTCCATGATTGTGCGTATGCCATCATACCAACAGGATGATGACGAGGCCGCAGAAAACCCTTCCTCTCCCTCACAATCCGCCACCTCCTGCACCTCTTCCTCTTCTGCGGCTGCCTCTTCCTCCGGTGCTGCTGAAACTGATGGTCAGGAGGGCGATGATGAAGGCGAGGAGGACTTGCGTCTCAAATCACTTGTTGATAAGGGTAAATTTACACTCTACTTAAGCTGAAATCTTAGTTTTTTGTTGCAATATTCTCCTTCCATGGATCGTTCTAAAGATGTTGTCCACATAAAGTGCAATGTTAGAGAGAGTTATTGGCATTCCTTTAGCTATTCTACACCTCCTTTTAATGAAAAATGGTATTAGTCACGGTAACACTCCTGGCTATGCGCATCCGAAATGTTACATTACTTTCCCTTCCTTCGACTTTATTATTGACCTTTTTCTTCCCCTTAAAAACATATAGAATTCATATTAGCTATTCTCCCTCCCTCCCCAACTCTAACTCTACATTCTTCATGAATACTTAGTGTTTCAGGAATCTAGGAGCAATTTAGACTGTCCATTGCTTGATGGAATGATGTGTTTCTGTCTTTGTAAAGAAAAGACAAAAAATGCATGATTCTACTTCTATCAATAGGCGCGTTGTGCTCAACAGCCAATTGGATCACAACGCGGACCTCTGACAGTCTCTACCAGGGCGACTACATAGTCAGTGGTGGTGGTGGTGGAGGCGGTGGCGTTGTCCGGGCGACACCCGCCTCTGATTTACCCTTCGCCACGCACAAATCTACCACCTGCGATAGCCAGCTCTCCGCTCCCGCCTCCCTGCCTCCTCTCCACCATCTCCAGCAGTTCCAACACCATCGCAATAGAGCCAACAATCACAGCCATCACTACCACCGTCATTATCAGCACCAGCTTCAGCACTTAGAAACTGGACGAAGCATGCCTAGACGTCGAAGCGGACCTAATCATTCGGCCGGCCAGTTCGGTGGGTGTAAGATCTTAGTTAAGTATTTTAAGTAGCATAGATTTTACTGAATGCTCTTGTTATTTTACAGAGGAAGGTTCCCTGCGGTGTCCGGTGCGACCGAGGGAGAAGAACATAACACCAGCAGAGAGCGGTGTGGGTGAGTCGATAGTCTCAGCGGACTCGCCGGGCGGGAATAGCAACGCAAGGCAACAAGAGGAGGGGGCAGTGGTAATGGCTCCACAGCGGAGTAATCACAAGGCGGCTGCAGTGGTAGCAGTAGCAGTTGAAGCGAACAATTGTTGTGTGACGCCTACGAGGGATATGATATCAGAAGTGGCCCCTGATGAAAGGGTAGAGACTTTTGGCTTCTTTTTGCATTTCTTGTCGATCTTCTTGTCCACTCATCTTTTCCGTAACCACATATCCATTCATCCACTCAACTATCTGCCTTTCTGTTCATTGACATATTAATCTCCCGATGATTCACCAGACCATCCACCCATTCAAAAGAGCTTGCTGAGGAAATCGGTTTGTATTAACCCCCTTCAGCGTATGCGGCTCGATGTCGAGTCAGTGACACAATTCACTACCCTGCCAGCACAGGACCGCATCACACGGTACTTGGAGAGTCTGGGCGAGCTCGGTGACTTGTCGGAAGAGAAGACCCCAAAGGCCAAGGGTGGTGCACATCCACCCCACCCCCCTCTTCTGTCCCATTTCCCTCCCCCTCCGCCAGTACCCCCACCACCACAGCCCGCACAGCATCTTCGCAACTCCCGAATGCTGCCCACTGAGTAGGTCACTGCTTTTTTACCTTGCCCCCTCCTTGTGGTTAGTATCCAGTGGATGCTTTCTGCCATAATTTTGGCGCCATCCACGTGCACACAAAGAGATCCAAATTAGCGTTAATATATTTAAAGGCATCGACGAAATGCCGTGGGACGCTCTGCCTCATGTTACCAGACTGTGCCCAGCGCGCAGCTGCTGCTGCCACCCGCCACGACCACCACCAACGGTTCGGTGGAGACGCAAGAGAGCCTTCCAACCACCTCCACTCCTAGCCCCGCGGTGGGTGAGACTGTCACACCCACCGACGATGTCTATCAGGTGAGCCGACTATTTAATAATCAATTCGCCGTGAATCCGTATATCTATCTACTCGGGTAGTTACGCACCCCCCATTCATCTCTTTTCCCCCCTTCCCCAATTCAGTAATCCGTCCCTCCATCCACTTACCCATCTTTAGATGTCCTTGGTTAGCCTTTTCATCGAGATCTAGCTATCCTTTCCTGATTCGCCTATTCGTCCACTACTTGCATTTATGTTTCCAATTGTCACTAGAGTGGGCATTTAACCGCAATTCGCTCTTGAAGGCAGCAAATATCCATCCACCATGCCCTTCCAATCGGCCTATTAGTCAATTAATCCATTTTGAAAGCTTCTTTTTGCTCACCAATTCACCTTTCACTCAAGACCGTTTAGAAACTTCATTCAACGCACTTGCAGTAGGAGGAATCCGACTGCTTCATGCTGAATTTGTTCCCGTTATACTAGTAAAGCTCTTATTCAATCGCGTTTCATTATTGTAGGCACCAAATCTAGCGCAGGATAGCAGCATTGGCGGTAATGGGGGTGTGAAGGCAGCGCCAACCGCGGAAGTGTCGTCTGAAGTAGAGCAAGCGGAGCTGACCGCCTGCCTGAATACCCTCTCGCTGGAGGCCACTGAACTCTCCACCGCCTGTCCTCAACTCGCCGCCGAGTTGTCTGCCCTCTCGCTGCAACTCTCGGCCTGTCGCGGGAAGATCGAAGCGCGCTTACGTGCCTCCGCCAACGGAGTCGGTGGCAGTGCAGAGGAGAATCACTGCTTGGCAGGCGTTGCGCAAGCTTTGCGGCACATTCAACAAGCACTCGCAGAGATGCGCGCGCGAGTGGAAGAGGCACAAACTCCCACCCCTCCCCTGCCGGCCCCCTCTGCTACAGCCCCTGCTGCCACAAACGCCAATGCTACTACCGTCTCTACCTAGAATATGTACATATGCATGCCTCAACACGCATTTACCGACGCTGACACCAACACCAACCTCCGCTAATTCTACTACCGGTTTAGAGTCGAATTCCTCAACCTTCTTCTCGCTCCTTATGCATCTCTCTCCTTTCTTCTCTTCTCAGTTTACTACGAACGTGCGGGTGATTGCCTGCCCTGGTAGTAGCTGTATCATGATGGTGATTTGGATAATATGCGTAGCATGATTTTGAATTTGCCGTGCGTTACTTGGTTGGACTTCCTTCCGGGTAGTATGTATGGGAAATAAAACGATCGTGCCATATTGGCAAACCATCTTTTGACATATTCAGGGCGCTGCTGCAAGTGGACTTACAAGTGCACTGTAGTTGGCTCCTGATCGGGTTATTAGAACACGTCTGCTATGAATGCACCTCTGTTTTGGCGGATATTATAACTTGGAATCAAAATGGGGAGGAAGCTCCATGAGATTCCGCAGGAGCGACGGGATTGTACGTTTACTTCTGGAAGATAACCACGAAAGGACCAACTGCACGCGCGCAATTTGAGCTTAGAAATGTCGGCCGTGAGGTTCCGTAAGTAGTCATGAAGAATATGGAGGCAGTAGTTCCGCAAGGGGAGGCCCTTCATAACAGTGTTTTGCATATTAACTATGCGACCAGCGTCACAAATATGAGACATGTACCCCATAACTTGTCGCGGTAAACATATCGATTGAATAAAAACAACAATGCAGACAAAGTATCCTTGATCCCATAGCAATTGACGCTGTTTGATTAGGAGCAATATAACTACAAAGAGAAACATTTTCCTCGTGTGCCGTGGTCTACTATCCCCCGAGACGTCGGTAGTGGGCGTAGTAATGATTCCAGACTAAGATAGCGAATAATCATTGCGTCAGACTGTTTTAGCGACAACTAAGACAACCACCTAATGAGTACCAAAAAACGGATCAAGCTTTGACTTTATTAGGCAACAAATCCATTAGAAAACTAGGAATATATCACTTATTAAAATCCAACAAAAATAAAACATCGAACGTACACAGAGATATTCAAACCTATTTTCTACAATCGTCATTTGATTCCTCTGAACTGCTGCTTTCTCCTTCATAACCTTCCTCGTCTTCTCCGTCTTCAGCATCTGAGGGAGGCAAAGCATCCGCGTCCAAGTACGCCTCATTCTTTGTGTTCTTACCAGTCCTTCCTTCGGGTAGATGGGTAAACACCTCTGGCCTAATAGCCAACGTGTTATCCACGAGATAAAAACGCCTACCAATCAGAGGAGTTAGCGAGGGCGAGTACCTGGTCGTCACTCAGCAAACACACGACTTCACCTTTAACTTTCGGCATTTCCAACGGAGAGCAAATAACATAGGCGTCTAGAAATAGAAAGTGCTAATCCCACATACTAGTGGAAAAATAGTATGCATTTCTAAATCTTTCTGGAATAGACACAAAAATGTTCTCGCCTTTTTCTGTAATTGCTGAAAAGAGGCAATTGCCCTGCGACTTCAAAAGCTACATCAATTGTAATCGATAGAATAAAGCATACCATGCACAGGAATTCCTCAGCTTTTAGCATCGGCTCCTTTCGGTAAAGAGCCACTAGTGCTCGCTTTCTTTTTGCGAAACTGCTTAATGCATGCCCAAGCATCCACACTGAAAACACACTGGAAATATCAAGGGGGGCGCTGGCCAACGAAATATTTTAACAAATAGAATTAAGCCTGAATGGAATCGAATATCCTTGATAAAGTGCTATTACACCTAAATAGGCTTCATATTTCATCCTGGTTTAATTTTGTTGATTACTCAAAACGGAATAAACACGTTGGCCTTATAATATATCAGAAGCAAAATGTCATTTGGTTACGAAAAAAACATGTAAACCGTCATTACCATTTTAGCACCTTACTTTTAATGCGCACTTATTGCAGCTACGCATTTGCAAAAGCTTTCAGTCCTGATACGCCATTAGATCGAGTTTTTAAATTTTCAAATTTTGCAGATGTTGCACACATATTGTTGGTTTTATTCAAGCATGCCTTATATTTGCCACAAAACTTAGTTTATATGCTGTGCTTTGCTTTGCTATGGCGCACGTAAGTGCCATTTAGCAACTTGTTAAAATGCATGGATGGTTAAAATTCCATCGTTACACCTGAACGAAATTAAAACAAAAGCAGCCTTCTTGTTAATTCAAACCTTCAATTTATTAAGAACAAGCTCTAGCCCCCACATATTAATTTTTATGACTGTCAGGAAGTGTTGAACAACTCTGCAACAGCGTGAATGTTGCTACCCCAGATTGCCCTGGAGGCAAAAGATGAAAACTATGAAGCAAAATATGGATTGTCGACGTAAGAAGAAAGGTAGAATTGTTGTTATAGCCGATGACCCAGGACGCTTGACAAAGCTGCAATGGTTAGTCACTGAGTGACCCTTTAACAATGTTTATAGTTAAACACTATTAAATTATCACTTGGCCAATCTCTTTTGCACGTCCTTTGCATCTTCATTAACATTCTGCTTTATCAATCGTGACGGGATCAATGCTATACAACAAATGTACCCAAGCCAGCCTTGCCCACTACCTTATTTCTTTGCACTCTCAATGATCCCTCTGAGAAATTCCAGTGGATCTAGAGTTTTGCTTGGGTTTGGAAACTGTAGTGAAAGGATAAGAAAATGCTTTAGTTACCACTTGTGTCCATCACTAGTCGTGGTGTAGTACATTGGTTGTTTTGACTTGGCCACAGTATCATGCCAAGTGAGCTGGCCTTCGGACCATGCCAGTAGCCCAAGTACTTTCTCTTTGTCGAAAACATATATTCTGCCCGAGTATTGCGTCTTCTTTCGTCCCCAAAGCAGTCCCAGGACGCTGCAATAGGAGCACCAGCGCATAAACAGAGTACTAATACAGAAGCACTACTACAGAGAACAATTTTAACATAGCCCCTTGGAAGTAGGTCATCTCGCCAATTCCTAATGGCAGCCTTATCATTAAAGTGCTTTAATCTACACTGAGACCATTTGGGTTCTATTCAGCTGGTTAAGAGGTGGATAAGGTACCGAGTTCTTACATAATTTATGTCTTTTCACAAGTGATTTGGAAAGCTCCGTGGCGAACCTTCCTAGACGGCTCACGGTTGGCTTCGCTTCAGTTTTTACTAGATTGCCTACAAAACACTGAACTGGAGGCCACTTTTTGATCTAATGCTGGGGTTTGCCACATTCTTCCAACTTTAGTATATGCATTTCTTCTGTCACACACAGACGTATCATCTAGCAGTGGAATACGGGATAACTGTACTTCAGCATCCGGATCACCCCCGGCTGCCACAAATGTTGCGCCCTGACATTTCTCAAAATAGAAAAGACGTGATACTTAGGCTGCTAATATGACATGAATACCAGAATTACAAGCATTGATACAGTGGTGGGTTCCCTGATTGGCTTGTTATGATACCCGCGAGGTAAATAAACAAGGTATTGCAGTAAGTGATTTCCATTTTCAAAAACTTTACCTATAAATGCTAAAACAGCAAAAATTTTTGTTTTGAAATATTTTTGTAGATCTCATTAGCAGAAGTCGATGTAATTTCCCCTAACACGAGGCACATTTTTGCTTAAACCATAATCCCTACTTTCTAAGCCTTTGGTCTTAACATTTAAAAACTTTAAAAAACAAAACCTTGTCAAAGTGCGCTGTTTAACTTAAAAAAAGGAGGTGATAGAGGGATCTTTACGAGCTCGGTTTTGTTTAATCTAATTATTTGACGTTCCGCTGCAGTTGAAATGCTTTCGGTTCTTTTACTTTGCCTAAAATGATTGATTCTATTTTCGAGGACCAACATCCAAAACTGGACTTTTGTGAGCATTTTAATGAGAGTCCTGCAGAAAATTCAGTTGAGTCTGTTCTTGAGTCGGCGGAGGTGTGTAGTGATATGTGTGGGAATGATGCCTACGGTGATTTATTTCTTATGGATACAGGCGAGCTACTTGGCCTTCGGGAGGAGGTAATTGGTAGTGACAGTTCAGAGCCAAGTAACGAAACTCCAATTAATCAGTGTGAACCCTTGGAGGAATTACATTTCAAGTCGCCTCTGTCGTGCTTCTCTTTATTGAACAAAAACAATAAATCCAGGTTTTCATGTAAGTTTATGCCACCAGTGCATTTGCACTTGATCTTATCTTACTGCTCTTTTTTTAGTGGATCGCGTATTTTCTCTATTCATTTTGAGGTAGTTATTTGAGGTAATTTCCTTATTTCATCTTGCTCTTGATGAGGCATTATGGCGGAACTTCATTTGAGAAGTTCATTTCACTCTTCACTGTACCTTTTGTTTGGGTTACTTTTCACTTTACCTCGGGAACCAACTTCCTTGTCATTTCTTTTCTTGGTATTCCCAAAATGTATTCACCTAAACTTGTTCAAATTTCGAATTTTTAAAATGGTGTTTTTGCTTCGCTATTCAATGTATTTAGTATCTTTAGGAATAAGGTGTTGTTTTATTTTACGTATAAAACTACTGTACCAATGTCCCTCCCTCTCATCGTTAAATTGAACCTTTTATTTCTCATTTGAGTGGCTAAAAATATCACATGCTAAGTTTTGTTGTTTTCTATTCGTAAAATTGTGTATCAAAATGAATTGTTGATGAGTGCGATGGCACTGTGCCCTCTATGTCAAATTCATTGATTAGGGGGAGATATTTATAAGAATCATTAAAACGGACGTCCTCGCTTTTTCTACGGCGGTGAATCACTTGCCTGTCTTTCCAGTGAGTCACACTCTTTTCTCTCCACCTTTAATTCTCCCTACAGGTGAATCAAGGGGCGAACCGGCGGATTTTGGTGCCGAATTAGACGCTCTGCAGAAGAGTGAAGATGTCACCACATCTCTGCTCTCATTCTCTGAGGAAGCGCCACTTTCTCTCCTTAATGGTGGCGGCAATGGCGTTGGCCCTGATTGGACCTCCAATCTGAAGGTCACCGTGGATGACCTTACGGTGGCAGCGGGGGACGGTACCGCCACTGTTACCGCTGCGTCGCCCACACATATTGTTGTCACCTCTCCTGCGGTCATCACCTCGTCACCACAAAAGGTGGCTGTCGTGACTACCACTCCAGCGGCAACAACGACAACAACCACTCCTGCTGTCAAGAGCCTAAGAATCTTCCCAATCGCCACCTATCGTCTACCTACTACTTCGACCGCCAAAAGGGATCTAGTCACGTGGCCGGGAAATCTGACTCTTTTCTACTCAAAACAGACCTCACTTAGCACTCAGGTCGCTTCTCGAGGAAGTAGGTTTCCAGCGGAGTTTCGAATATTCTAAAGCATGCGTGTAGGACTAACTTTTACTCGATTATTTTTTCCCGCCGCATTTCTTCATTGCGTATTCCCCACCAAAGGCGATTATGTAAATGGGTTTTACGTCTTCTCTTTTGGAACAAGAATTTCGGTTTCCCGTTGCAGAAAACCGGGGGCTAGAAACATGCGATATAGCGGATTTTTACCATTAGTTCTTTACACTATGTGGAATAGTCGCTCCTAGGCCACACTTTCAAAGAAACGAACGATAATTCCATTAATTAAATAGGTAGTTCTGAATGCATTTTCATTTGACTTTTGGAGTTCCCCTCCATGTGCGTCTTCTGTACAGATGTATTGAGCTACAGGGCATCGTCGTTGAGATGCCGTGATCGGAATAGTTTACATCCAAGCACCGGTTGGCAAGTGGTGGCTATCTCGGCGCCAGGCGCGACTACCACCGGGGTCAGCCGTCGTCTCTTCTCCCCTTCCGTCGCCTCTGCCTCTGTCAACGAGCGACGCGGTCCACTATTGACATCCACCACCGTTTCCTCTGTAGTAAAGCTGCCCACCACTGGCTCTGCTGCCGCACCATCGCAACAGGCAGGCTCTACGACGGGGCCGGGTTCAGCGGGCACAATGCGTTGCGTGGTGTGCCCTCAGTTGGGTTGCGGAAAGGCATTTCGTGACACTGCGGCGATGAGGAAGCATCTGCACACCCACGGGCCACGAGTGCACATCTGTGGGGAGTGTGGAAAGGCGTTTGTAGAGTCGAGTAAACTGAAACGTCATCAACTGGTGCACACGGGCGAAAAGCCTTTTCAGTGTACTTTTGAGGTGAGTAGTCCTCAAGGCCAGCCTAGAGACGTATTTTATGATAAAGCTTTATGAATTTCCTGAAAGGGCGGTGAACTTTTACCTGAGCTATCGCGAATGGAACCCCGTGAAGCGAAAATATGACGAGCGAAATCAATGGAGGCTGGAGAGCCGGCATAGCTAAGCGTCGTCCACTGTGTTTTCCGTGGTGTCATTCTCCTGCAATGGTTGTGAGCGTATTTGGTACCTTGTAAACCACCTACAGATGAGGAGTTTGGGCCATACTTCGTTTTTCCACCCAGGCGAGCAGACATTTGATCTATATGTCAGTGATGCATCTCGTCGATTCAATTGGATTCAGACTTACGAACACTGCGCATCGCATAATAAAAATTAATCAGCTTTGTCCTGTTCAAGGTGGGTCGATGCTTGATAGAGATCATATTTCATACACCAGTTGCTATTCGTGGAAACATTTACTTGAAGGCAGAGCCGATCTTCTGCATCCATTACTCCTCACCTTTTCTCACTTGATCTCTACTAATACGTTTATCCAGGCTCCATTCAGATACAGCTCTACAATGTTGCTCCATTTGTCATATGTCTTATTTCCAGCCACAAGAGTCGTAGTGAGTCTCCAGATTCACCGATTTGAGCGGCTGCCCCACTCTTATGATGTTTAAGATTGTTGTGCATTTGAAGCGGGTTTACTTGGCACCGTCACCAGCAAATCACTCGCGTTCTCCTCCCCCCCCCCCCCTCCACCCAAAGGTGACCTTATGAGTTTAATGGCTCTAAATAGAACTTGATTATATTTGTCCACGGAAGGGCCGATGAATTGTTATAACAGAATTGGGCACGCATAAAATATTATGCCACCACAGCGGCAAAAGAAACAGGGAGACTGAAGAAGCCGTAGGGACAAGCGCACAGTTTGAATAAGCAATTGTTCCGTTGCGTAATAATTAGGGGTGGGGCTGTTTCCTGACCCAATGGTATTGGTGTCATTTGGCTTCAAGTGTAGGCTTAACTTTCGAGGATGCGCGCACATTTCGCTGGTTCTCTTAGGCCACGAATCTACAAATGGGAGAAGCTTTTTGTCACTTCTGGTTTCGTTCAATCCCACCATTAGGGCGGCATAGTGCTGTCGGATTTTCGGACTAACTTTATCATCATGAGGTGGTGCTCACTTCCTTCTTTCCAGCCCACCAGTTATTCTCACTCAAAAAAGGACACTGGTTTTTCTCGAATGTAAAATGCTCCAAAAATTAGCATTTGGGCTCTGGTTGGCGAATAGTTCGTAGTTGACACTTCACCGCTGATGGTGTTGGTGCCTTTTGCTGGCGCTTCATGCGAATGGTTGCCTTCAGCTTCTCCATTGTTGCAATTTTGCGATGCTATTTGTCGGACTTCGGTCTGATCAGGTTTTCAGCCACCTTTTTGGCCTCTGTTCTTTTGATTCAGCAAATCACTTCCATGGCTCTTTGGAGTTTTGACTACCGTTGCGCTCTGCATCAGTAATGCGGCTGCGAATAGCTCGGACTTTGTCAATCCACCCACCCCTGGCGGTATGGAGGAGAACTTTATCTTCAGATTGAGCACATGAATTTGTGATGACAATGTTAACGTTTTTTGCCGACCTTCTTATAGACGCAAAGCATGCGTTATGATTCGTTGAGAAGGAACACATGTAATAAAAAAAATTTCCAGTTGTTTCAGCTCTAAATGGTTTTGGTGTTATCGGACTCTGATTCTTGATGTGAATTTTTCCTCCTTGCATTGAATTTTGCCTGGTCATTTGGAATTGGGTAAATCGTCCTGCCGTCGGCAGATGATGAGCAGCGAGGGTTGTTTTTTCTTTCCCGATCCAACAGCTGTTATAAAGTGGAAATATGCTTGGATTTTTGTAAACAATTTTTTTAATAAGAAGGCTGCTAACTGCTTCTGGTTCCAACAGTAAGTTGACACTTAATTCTATTTTGCTTTTGTTCGAACCTTCGCTTTCTACTTCGGGTTTAGATTGGCAGGTTTGTCTCGTAAATTTCGTTCTGACCGAATCGTGCAATACGGACTGCGTTGGGGACGTTTCTGTATTTTGCTAAATCCTTAGTTGTGAATAAATATTCAGAAGACTCGGAATAGGCAGAGAATGAGCAGATTTGGCAATAATTTTAAGTCTTTTCGAAACCTCTTCCACGGCCATCAACCTACTGTCGGAGATCAGAGATGTTTTCTTCTCTTAATCATGAATATAGCCACCTGGATATCTGGAGCCTTTTACATTCTGTCTTCTTTAAAGGAAGCATAAATATGTGGTGGCTTTTCAAATGCTCCTTGCGCTGAAGCGGTTGTCATGAAAATTTTGCTGAGAGTTCGGTTCTAGGACTCCATCCAATGCCCATCAGGTCGCAATTGGACTCATTTCCTTCAACTTCTTCACTCTTGAATGGTAAATGAAAAGACACTTGATATTCAAACATGAACGATTACTAATTCTTCCCTCGTATCCAAGCCAGTGTTAAGTCAAGAAAAATTATCGAACGTCTTTCTGATGAAAGTTCTCTAGTGCTGCATCTATCTCTTCCATTCTTCCGAGGGTTTTTCACTGAAGCATTTAGAAAAATTTCATTCTCTCTTCATACAGGGTTGTGGAAAACGCTTTTCCCTGGATTTTAACCTGCGCACCCACCTCCGAATCCACACAGGGGACAGACCCTATCCCTGCCCCCAGCCTGGCTGCTCCAAACGGTTCGCTCAATCAACTAATCTCAAGTCGCACCTGGCCACCCACACAAAACTCCGCCCGCCTCATACATCCACCTCACCCACTGCTACCGCCGCTGTCGCCTTTGCTGCTAATTCCACCGGCGCCGGTGTGCACCGAGTAAAACCGGTGTCGGCATTCCTGGCCGACCACCAAAAGCACCATCACCAGCATAGCCATCAGCAACAGCATCAGCAGCATGGCAGCTATGGATTTTACCTGCCTGCGGCCTCGGGTACTGCCATCTCTGCGACTGTTGCAACCACTGCAATGTCTCCTTTAGAGGAGTAAGCAATTTCGAGTGATACGTGTTTGCTTCTCATTTCTGGGATCGCGACTCTAGAGTCGTGAATTACAGGTCATTGTTTCATGGATCTTCTCGTATTCTTTCAAAAGTGTCTTCTTTATTTTGTGATCTGGGTATCTGGCTTTGGTCATTTGTGGTGTAATGTCTCCTAGATCCTGAAAGCCACAATGCAGTCATGGGTTCTTTTTATCACGTTCTCAACACATGAGTCATGGGGTCATTGTAAATTTGTTGTGTCTCCTTAACTTCCCTTTAGTGCTGTCCCTTAGCAGACTACCATAGGTCTCGGGTTTTGAGTTTTGTTAAACATCTTGAAAGTAGCATTGTTTATCTTGTTTTCTCTGCCCTTAAGACTATTTAGCACTGTACTCCAGGCTCCGGATTTCCTTACTCCACAAGTGTTGTTCGCAAAAGTGTTTCAGCATTTCATTTAAATGACTGACGTTCGGAGTCTCCCTCCTTAAGAACTGGGCTTGAGGTTTCGGGTTGGTCTATTTTGAGGCTTTCTTTCACTTGCTCTTGAAATTGTTACTTTTCTTGATTCCCGGTCCTCTGAAGCAACATTTTTAAACCCTTGATTGACTCTTTCTGCGGTACCATTCACTGAATCGTTTTGTTATTTGTTGCGTGAGATATTGCTTCCTTTTGCAAGCATTTCAGAGTTCTGGTTTTTTCTTTTCCTGTTTTTAAATGATATTTTCAAGTTCCTGAACTTGGGAATTTGGGGTGATGCTCGTTGAATTATTTTCATACTTAATGCTATAATTAGCATACCGAACCATCTCATTTTGCGAGTCTTGTAAAAATGATGCGTTGACATCATTCCATTGTCGATACTTCTCTTCCAGTGATTCCATACCCTGGCCCTTTGAATTGCTTCCTTTTAAGCTTCTATTATTGTAGTTTTGATCCAAATTTTCCATTGGTTTTACTCATTTTTTCAGATTGTGGACCTTGGACAGAAATTCCATTTTGAATTACATGCGCTCCTGTATTAGTTCATTCTCTGGAGGAATTGATTTTCAACTCCATCAACACTATTTCTTGATATGGCTACTATGTGTTCTGCCGACAAATACTTTGGTCCCCATGAGGGGTGGTGAGTAGTGCTGGTTGACCCTCACCAAACAATCTGAGGGACCTATTTATGCCAAAAAGAAGTGTCACAAATCGTTTACATTGGCCAAACTCTCCGTTAAATGGCATTTAATGGGGGGGGGGGATCAGGGTGGGTTAGAGTCGCATTGGGACTTTTGATTTCACCTGCATGCTATCAAAAGGGACAGCAGCTGTGACGGTGCTACACCCAGTAGTAATTTAGGAGTGTATCCTTTTACATACCTCTAGCCTGTGTGCATATAATCGGCCACTCCAAGTGTACACGTTCGATTTAGATGGCAGGCAATAAGAGAAGTACGTCCTTTCAGTAGCGTATTGCGAGGAACGAAGGCACGAGATTCATGGATATCTCGCACCGAAGGTTTTAAACTTTAGTAAGACACCTGAATGGTGTTAACGGCGCCCGAGATAGCCGTACTTGCGTCTTTCGGTGACAGGCCTGAATGTGGTGGTACCTCAGTCCACAATAGACACTTGTACGTGAATAGTTGTTTTGAAATTACACAAGAATAGAATCTTTATTCTGGAATAGTAAGTTCAGTCAGGCTTTTGACTGCCCCAAAAGAGTTGGGTGCTGCACCTATTTGACGGAGCAGTTTGCCAATCGAGGCTAGAACTCTTTAGGATACATTATTACAATCCACGATTAAAACGAGCATCGAAGCAGCGGAAGCACGCGAAAGCTAGCGTTTCACGACCAATGACGACGTGGAGGAGGCTATTCTGAGATGACTAATCTATGCTGACACCTTTCTATGCTAGGGCTGAATTACGGGCATCAGGTAGACACTGAAATAAGTGTGCAGGTGTGGTGGAGGGAGTCTATGGTGGTAGGTGAATGCAGTTCGCACTTACCAAAATTCGTCCTTTTCAAAATTTCCGATTTTACTTGGGCATCGCTCTAGTTCCACTATATGGTATCGTTCACCTATGAACTCATAACAGCGGTACCTTAAAAGTAGTTTGTCAGTCTATCTTTAGTGATAAGGCCTGTTTTTTCCCTGCTTTTAGTTCAAGACCAGCCTCACCTCCCTACTTAACGAAAGTGGCAGCAGCAACAGCTGCCTTCTACAAACTATACGGTGACGAGGAGATCACCTTCCCCAGATCCCAACAGCATTTCGTCTCCTCCGTGAAGACGGCCTCTTCACATCTGTTAGCCTTCCAGTCATCATCGTCACCACCATCATCCCAACCCTCCTCTCTCTCAGCTTCGGCCACCTCGGCACCCTCTCGCCCACGCATCCTTCTTACCAATCGCGGTCGAAGTCTTGCATTCGAGCGGGCCACTCTTCCACCGATACCGCCAGTAACAACAGCGAGGACCCTTACGGTGTTGAAGAGAGAGGACTTTAGCCCTCATTTTGACGATCCTCTGCTCTCCTCAGTGCTACCACCTCCGTTGCACAACAAGGCTAACCGGAAGCAGAATCTCTTTCCTCCTCCCCCTCCCACCCCTTCCGACAAGTCTACCGCTGCCATCTCCGTGGTTGGCGATGATGATGGTGTTGGCTCCATAGCGGCCATGGGAGAGGAGGGCGAAGAAGAGGATGACGGTGGTAATGGTGAAGAAGGAGTGCAAGATGGATTTATCTGTGGTCTCCCACTCTCCTCATCTTCCTCTTCATCCTCCGCTGCAGCCGCTGCGGTTGCTGCGATGAACGCACCGACGCGTAGGGGTCGGCGGAGGACTGTTAAACGGGGTAGTAACAGCACTACCGCTACCACAGCTAACGCTGTCTCGGTCCCACGAAAAGTGGCCTCTTCATCACCCTACTTCACTCGTTCCTCGGTGGTGGCTGCCAACCATCGTCAGAGACGGCGACGCCGGAGACGAGGACGAGGATCAGCTTATCAGCCACAGCGTGGAATGAAGGGGTTGGGTGCGCCACCGAGTCACCATCATCAGCCGATGCGCCGTAAGGTGGTGTAGGTTGCCTGACGGGCGGGCGCTAATCGCCCCCTAGTGTTTGCATTTACAAGGGTGTATATGCGCGTGCAATATCTCTGTTTTTTCCCCTCCCCCCCGTATTCTACCCACTCTCCTGTCGTCCTTAAACTTTTACGAACTTGTACTTGTTGTTTGTCACTTTTTTTTCTTGATCTCTGGATCGCTTGCGCTCTCAGTGTGTGTGGTATGTGTGCTTGTATGTGTAACTAGTACACACGCATTCCTACCTCCCTGCTCTCCTCCCCTCCACCCTGTCCTCGCTCCAGGCCTCATAATATTTTTTTCTCCCTTTCAATCTTTTTTCTTTCAGCAATATCCACATGCACTGCACAGTAGTTGCAAGTACGTCTATAGCCTAATTACTCCTATTGCTACTAGTATATATACACGCGTATATATATTTATGCAGAAATAGCAAAAAAGTTTGTGGAGAGTCTTCTCTAATCCTCTTTGTGTTTAGGCAATGTAATTGAAGGAAGTAAATCATTCGTGATCTATTTTTTTGGGTAAAAAGATAAGCTCCGAGGTATTACCAGCACTAAACGCCCCGCAGTACAATGGGGCACTATGAGAAATAAAATTATGGAACTGGGTTAACAGTATCCCATGATCTCGTCCCCACTAACGCTATTAACACCCTGGAGGATACCGAAAAAATTGGCGCAGCATCTTTGCATATTGCGCTACTTTGTGCAGCAGTGCAAAACTTTTGCTCAACGGTATCTAGTGTAGATTCGCAGGTTTTGCAAGTGTTCTCCTTGCCCTAGCCAAGTTGCCCTTTTCATAAATAAGTCCTTTTTTATTCACAAATTTTAACTTTGTACTAGCTTGTATGAGTTTGAAAAAAGGAGAGGGTGAGGCATGCGATTATGCTTTGCGGACCAATCGGGACTTGTTGAAACATCTCTGCGTCAGTGGTATTCTGCCTCACTAAAAGAAGAAAAGCAGTGGTGCCCTCCGCCATAAATATTTTATTGGCGCTTGATAAGGACAGGGTTAAATATGTCACCTGTTTATGTGAGGGTTACTAAGATAGGAAGAAAAATGCACAAAGTTTGCGGATTTATCAAAGCTGGTATCCACTGGGTAGAGTTGGAGTTTTAATTCAGAAATCAGACTTAGAGATCGTGAGACTGTTGCAGTTCCTCCCTCGTACCCTTGTAATCAAATCATCGCCATACATGCATGTACAGCGAAAGGCCTGCAAGGTGACTCTTGATATTTGCCTTCTTCAAGGTGATGCAAAAAAGTGGAAGGTGGTTGGATGGACAAATTTCGGACCTCGGTAGTGAGAATTATCACCTATTTGTGGGTTGGTTTGGAGGTAGTCACTGTAAATGACTAACATGGTGATAGTTGAGGTGTTAAGCCGTGTAAAAGTGAGTTTTTTTACTCTCATTAAAGGCAGAGCATGAATAATGACCTGAATTTCAATTATTTGCTGTATCCACAAAAAACTCGAGCCATTAGAGATTCCCAATTCTTCCACCCTGATGAGGATAATTCGGCTCTGGTCGATGTAATTCTTTTTTTTACCGCTTTAGAGGTGAAAAAGTGGCGGATTTACAAACTCTTGCGGATGCTATTCAACGCAAAACTGATAGTTTTAACTATAAAATGATGAAAAAAGGCGAATAAATTTCATCACAGTCTCTAGTACTTCCATAATTCGGTTATCCCTACAAGTGCATTATATCGGAAAAAATACGAGAAATTTTTCTTTCTTGTTCTGTCTGGTTTGAATGATGAGAAACAGGCTAGCTTAAATTTACCGCTCGTAGACATGTGGAACTTACCAGGATTGTTGGCCTGACAATAATTACATAGGTTAAGGAGCGCAGCCGTGCGCTGCAAGACGATCGATATCCGTCGGTGGCAGCCACCGCGTAAATATGGTAGCGCCCACCATCTACACCTCAGCTGCCATCCCATGAGGCCATTATTCAACCAGTTTACACTTCTGATAGAGGGTAGACGGGTTTCCGTGGCATCAAGAAGCACTAGGCACGGGCGAAACTGACGTACGCTTGAAGTTTGAAGCAAAGAAATCAACAAGGTAAATCCTAAATGAGTGGAGAGCACTACAAAAAAGTAATCTTATTATTGGCATAGATATCAGTTGTGGAAATATCAAAATTGTTTTATTCATATTGGACTCAAACCTGAGAATTTCCCCAAATTTCATCGACATTTTGATCGCCGTCGAAAGGTTCTTTCAAGCATTTAGAACTCCAGAAAAAGGTAAATTTTGGTACTGCGTAGACCAAAAAAGCAACTATTTTATGCACATAGCTCCTATGTTATTTATTAGCAGCAGACTCCACTAAAAAGGATAGGAGACAAATGTTTGAGGTTGTGTCTTGTCCCCAGTCCTTCCTGAAGGCGAAAGGAGGGGAAGTAATACTAGAGGAGAATAAGTATCCATTACCCACAGAAAGGCTGTGGAGAGGCCACTGACTTGGCACGGCGGAACCTTAGGCGTCCGCCAAATCCAAAAGGAAGAATTAAATGAACACTCAAAGTACTGTATAGCTTCCCTCTCCTCCTTTGAGCGTCGGTCCCGACCATCCCCACGGTTAACCTTCCACATCGGCCGTTGCCAGTGCTGTAAGGAAAAGCAACCACGAAACAGCCGCGTCAGTCACCGAATTTGTGTGCAATTGAGAAGACATCTGGCCGCAACATTACTGCTCTTGCCAATTTCACTGGATCTGGAGTTTCCTCCTGTTTGGGAACTGTACTGGGGGAAGGAGAAATGTTTTGCTCATCTCGTATGTCCATCATTGGTCGTAAGGGTCATTTAATAAAGGGTGGGGCTTAAAAATAGTTCCGTAACAGTAGGGTTTCCCATTTATTTCTCCTTTTTACTTTGTTCTCACTTCAGTAATGCAAAAAAACTAGCATCTATCTGGGTTCTATTCGGCTAGTCGAGAGGAGGAAGTATCCCATATCCCTTAACTGACATCTTCATGCAGGTATCGTAGGCAGCTTCGCAGCGAACTTTTCCAAATGGTTCATGGTCAATATCGCTTCAGTTATTAATAGCTTTCCTGCAGACCACGGGAGCGGAGTAGTTGCCAAAGGTAAAAGTACTTTCCAACTACCCTGCCAGGGGTCTTAACAAATTTCCCCATTAGCAGCGAATGCCCTTCTTCCGTCCCGTTAAGGTTTACCATTCAGAAGTGGAGTCTTCCCTGAAGAAGGAAGCAGTCATAATATCAGGGCTGAAAATGTATTGCCAACCTGCAGAAGGGCCGAGGGCTACTGACATGGCCCTGAGGCCGTGTCGCATAGTAGAAGTACAAAGGTGGCATCTTAGATGCCCACATAACCAACCAACCAAGATTAGCTTCCACGTTCATTCCGGACCGTCACTTTTGGGACCAGAAAGATTTATTTGTCTTATATGAAAATGGTGTTCCATTTTAGCATACAAGAGCATTCTGAAATTGATGAGAGTTAGCTATTCGTCCTTGGACTATACGCGCTCTAAGCGGATGCCTTATTGGCTTTATGCAATCTCTATTAGTGGAACAAACTCAAAACTGTCAGTTTGGGCAATGCCTCTGCTTTATAAGCCAAGAGACAATGTAATGAGACATTCATTTAACTCGTCTATCCTCAAGCCCGCACACCACCAGCCAATGGGGTAGGTCAAGCCGGTAGTCACGTCGTTGGTTAGTTAGTTGGTCTTAGTCTTTATGACTAGGAGGCCAAGGGCTTGCTATTCGGACCTATTTTAACGCAGCGCCTTGCACACCAGACTAGCCCAGAAAGTGGAGAATTTGCGCTGTCTAGCTTGGCAAACCTCTGTCCGCAGTGTCTGCGAGGTAGCACCAGCAGCTGTTGCAGCTTAAGCGCTGCTTTGCCACTAAAAAGCACGTACGCTTACACACACGTACGCACGTGCATGCACATGCCCGCTAGACATGTGCGCGCGTGCAGGTAAGAAAATATCGATCAACTCGTCGGAGCCAATGGCAAGGCTACACTTGGCCGGGCTAACAACCAGTCGATTAGGCATCCCATCAGCACGCGCGCCTTAGCGCACGCTTTTTTGAGTCGGGTGGATACGCAAGGGGGTGTGAACAGTTAATGAGGTAACTTGAAAACGAGAGCGCGAGTGCTTAAAGGGAGAGAGCAGGGAATCTGGAAGGACGCCAGCTGACTTCAAACGCCTAAAAATAAAGATAATAATATTTTACCTTGCAGAATAAGGCTTGAGGAATCTTCTCTGCACGTTCCCATCTTTAATCACGGCTGGCGGAATCAAATAAATGTTGGGTAAAACGCCTCTAACAAACGAAAAAAAAAACCCACCTCCCCCCTCCTCAAGCATCAAAAGGTCATGGAAACATTTAATAGCCCACACATGCATCCCATGCGACGTTTGTGAACTACTAGTTCGGAAGTCCGCGGTCTCAAAATGGTAACCGGAAATGGATATGCAACGATGTTTCGATAAAATTAAGCTATTTTTGGTGTGTCAAAATTTTGCCTGCTTTGACATATTTCCCCTATGGCGGATAATTCTGTTAATTAAAGATACATCTTCTAAGAGGTTATTAGCCGTGAGGGCAATCTCTAGCGCAAATTGACAGCACTTGTGCAATTGCGTCCATGGCATAGTTCTACTGATTTCTTATCAGTAGTACTAAGTATAATGGAACAGGCAATAGTGTGCAATCACGGCAGTGCGATGAATGCATTGCGACATTCAAAAAAGCAAACAAGCAAACTTAGCATCCAGAGAGTTTAAGTTATATCTTCTAAGTTCAAGAATAGATTTGAGTTGACTGAAGTGGCGGCTCCTGTGGTGTAAGGCCTCAATATTCCAAGCCCAATGTTTGCGAATTAGTCCTGCAGGTAAGGTATATAGTCATAGCGATTAATGGGTAAACAAGATCACTCATTAATTAAAGAAGGGGAAAACCGTACTTCAAATCTAACTCGTCCTCTTCTAATCTGCTTTCTATAGCGATAACTGATCACGTAATCATCCACATCATTTAAGAGCACAAAGAACGAGTCTTTTGTCTTTCCCTAAAGATTAGAATAAACAAAATAACGTCAGGTCATTTTTTTAATGAAAAAAAGTATTAAAGTTGTGAGAGACGAACCTTGCGGCATTTGCCATCACTTTGGCAAACACATTTGTGATTCTGTAAAAACCTCCTGAAAAATTGATTTGGTTCTTCACACTTCCCTTTGCCACTGAATAAGCTGGTCCAGCCACAATGCTTACAATAAATGTTGTGCTCTAAGCCCCCAAGTCTTAACTTCAACAGCATTATTTAACGCGTTTTTATAAGTGTTTAATAAAGCAATCACTAGAGAGCCAAGCGAAACGCACCTTATTTAATTCCAATTTGATGGCATATAATTCCAAATAGTAACGGGTAAATGTCGCATATGGAATCATCTCCTGCAAATGAAGGTGGTACAAGATTACTTAATTCGGTTTTGGATCAATGCTTCTTTTGTGCATACTTCTCCCTTATGTTTGTATAAAAGTCCTGGGCTACTTAAGTTTCAGTAAAATGGCTATATTGATGAAGGGGTTTTAAGCATATCCAGGGTGTTGAAGTACCTAAGCATGTCAATTTGGATTTACCATGGACGCCTATAGGTTCATTTGTAAACCCACGTCGAGAACAAGCATTACAGAGTAGCAAGTGCTAAACACCCAGCCTAATTATAAACAAACACTTTTAATAGATATTTAAATTTTAAGTCAATGTGTGTTTGAGTATCATCAAATAAAATGGGACAGATAGCTATTAAATGCATTCCAAATAGTCCATGAAGTAACTAGTGTATGGGCCTGGATAAAACTTTTCAAGCTTTTAATGTAGATATTGAATGTATGAGCGGGATATTGATCCAAACACTCGAGAGTGGATCAGATACAAAAGATTGCAAGATTTAAACGGGACAGACGCTTTCTGAAGGTCAAGAACGAATGGGTAATTCCAAATATATTTGCTACTATCTAAAAATGGTGCAAAATTCACTCAAAATTCTACATAACATCAACAAACAAAAGTTAATTACGATGTTTAGTAGGGTGAACCATGTTAAAATGACAGTCTTTTTGTTCCTTGGTGTAATATAGAACGCCGTATATAAATATCTTTCCAAATTGGATTCATTTTGATGAGTTGCTTTAATCCTTTTTTAGTGTCGCTATCGTGGGATGAGCACATTCGGTGTATAAGTTAAAAATCCAACAGTTGTTAGGAGTTTTCGGTTTTAATAAATTACGAATAGGTGGTAATCTTGATGCCACGAAAATGAATAAATATACTGGCTAAAATGTGCTAACCATGGAGCCTCGAGACCTTACTGAAGACGAAAGACGACACCATACATGGGCGGAACCCCACATTCGCCATACAGTAGGGGTTAGGTCCGCTGTCATGCCTCGGCGACCACCCCAACTAGGGAAGGCACAATTTCAGGGACCAAAGCAGCTCTTTACCAAAACTAAAAGTTAATTGACCAGCGTACTTTACTGACAGCCCTTAGCATTATTAAATGGGATATAGTTTGCGCACGATCGATTGCTGATGTTTTAAAAGTAAGCACTAATGCCTTCCTTGCAGGCATTTAGGTCAAATTACTTGCCTAGAAATACGATTACGAAAGTAAAACAAGGAAGCGAGCTATTCGTGTCAGAAAATTATGCTAAGTAAACTGGGTTATAATGTATCAATTTGATTTACAAAAGTATTTGCTTTCGGAGGTAAGAAATTCAATACATTATCGGACTGTAGCTGTCCGCGACATATATTCGATAATTTAGTCTTTATCAGGCTCAAATAGGTTCCGTTCAACCAGCCAGTGCTCAACCATATTTATATCCCCTAGTACTCTTTACAGCCAGCGTTTAAATTAAAAAAATTATGCACCAAATGATACGCCCCCACTCGGTAACGTGGACTTCCATTGCATGCTAAAGCTTTGCGCGCAGATGTTGACAAATTGATGAACCGTTTGTTGTTAACACATTTAGGAATCTTGGCCTCGCAAACATGAAGTAGAATGTTTTCCAATCACATAGCAAAAGTAGCATTCGTGAACACTTCCTAATCAAACCCGGAAGGCGAACCAGACAACTTTGACGAGGTAAGACGGCAATGTTGTTGAGAGTATGATTAATTCCCTGAAGGTGCCAAAATGTCAACTATGACAAGTACAGTTAAAAGATAGTAATATATATGGCAAGATTCAAAAATCTTTTCACCCGAATATGCTGACTTCTTTTTACAGGGAAAGTATGACAAGATAGCAAAATTAAATAAGATTCTCACAGAATTTCTTGCCATTTGATCAGGCCGTTTAATAAAGTTGGAATTGGGTCACACATGCCACCTTTGCAAGCATTATTTACGTCAATTGTAGTTATATTTCAAAAGGTCAAAAAGGCATGAGACACCACACCTAATTAGTTGGCTTAGGTGATCGGTGCGCTTCAAATGCATCATCTGGGTTGAAGCAAAGCAACCGCCTCATCTTAGCAGGAGTTCCGGCATCTGAGCAAGTTGCTGATCTAGCAGCAACCATAATGAGGAGTGACTCCATTTCCCGACTCCACGTCTCATCAATTTCAAATAGTGTCGCATGAGAATGCATTATTTGTCGTCTCATTTGGGCAACACGAGTAGCAATATAAAGCTGGGAAGAAGCACCTCATTGTCACTACCATGTGTCGGTCGAAACGTTGGTTCTCCTTCCAATGTGCTACGTAATTGGAGTTTTCAGCATGACTTCTCAAAACAGTAAAGCTACTAGGGGCAACAGAGGCACAAATTGTCCTGCTAGAATTGAGCCGATTGTTTGACAAAGGAATTTACACCTACACCACCAGTAGCAGAAACAGCAACAGATGATAACTTCCCAATGACATCCCGTAGGCCTACTTAAATTAGCCCACTATCTGCATCAGGAACTAATTACTCAGTGGACAACGCATGATCAAGGCTGCTCTGATGTTTGTTGGCAGTAGTCCACCTAACAGGGGAGTTACGTAATAAAAAGCGGACACAATCCCCCTTCGTCGCCTTTGAGACCATTAATTACTCGCCTTATTCGGGAGCAGTCTAATAATTTCATTTGTCATAATTTGACAAGAGACAGGAGGTAACAAATGGGCTATGGTCTAGAAGGCCGATGGACAAAGTGGGTAGCTAACCCATTAAGGCCACTTCCCAAAGAAACCGCTGGATAGTAATTAAACCCCCTCCTTTTTCTCCAACTGTATTTTATCAAAACATATTGCTTGATTAGCTTAAAATAATATATCCTGACCTACCGAGGGATTAGGAGACTACCGTTCTGGCTTGGGCTCTATGCGCTCGCAAAACCTACACGAAGAGTTGAACAAACAATTAATCAACCTCTTGCAGAACACTTAACTACTCTAATTCGAGCATAGGAGTAGAATGGAAAAGGGCCATTAATTAAGCCCTAAATATCCCTGCAAGGAAAGCAAACTTTCACCTTTCAAAGATTTATTGTGGTTAAACTCAGCGCCAAGGTGGTGTAGTCTGCCAAAAGCCAATTCATCCACGTATTTGGAGTTTTCATATACTTTGACGGTTTGTTTTTCCTTCTTTCAACTTCAGCAGCAGTAAATCACGAGTCTTAAGTAAGTCTTTCCTACAACTGCGATGCCTTCTGCTTGTCGGAAGATTTGGTGATTTTCCTTAGTCCCTTTCATAGGCGATGTGGACCTAACGGATCTCAGGATGTCCGCTTACCTTCAGTTCTGTCGAAGCGAAACATAGCTTCCACCTCTCGTTCCTGTAAATAGCCGACTGATTCTGCTCCTGGTGGTTTGGAAGGTTACAAACCTCATTACTTAGCTGCAGCATCTTATTCAGCGTTAAAGATGAAGAACACATTCAGAGGAAAATATTGCTCCTTTGACCTTCAACGCGGACAAGTTATGGACAATGTGCCCATTGACAATAGAAGGAACAGCAGACTTAAAGGATTGACAAAAGTCACTTTGGGGATACCTGCGGTGAATCACAGGAAACACTGGTAGAGCTCGCACTCTGCCTTCAGCTGAATGTATACCATATTGATGCTCAGACAGCATTGAATTAAGAACAAGGTGGCAAGGAGGAATGAAACCATAATGTCTCTGCTTTTAGATAAATAAATATAGTTTGTGGCACATGAAATTCCAATGCTGTGAGTACGGAGTTACTTTGGGTGGTGCTGAGCCACTGAATCGTCATTGTTGCATAAAATTGTTACCAGTTTACCTTGCTAAACATGAATGGGCACATGATATCAAAGTTTTTTCTTTCCTGACAAAGAGCTTTTAGCTTGGCTTGTTGACAACCAAGGTGACAATTTTTGAGGCAAATAACGTAATCGCATTTTAGAAGAAAGTGCTTCTCCCATTATCTGGCAACGTGGAAACAGAAAATTAACTGTCTCTCTGGCCATCTGTCACTCTATCTATCTCTTTTTTAGCCAAATAAAGTAATCACACTTTTGGAGTTGATTTTGTTTTACTCATTACCTGGTGATGCTTGTGTGAACAATTAAAGAGGTTTCCTTGTCTGCCTGTCTATCTACTAGGGCCACATGCACCCAATCCCCTAGTTAGACAGGTTGTGGCTCCATTGGAGGTTCCCTATTTTGTTGGCTCTGAGCACGGTACCAGACACTAAGGTCAGGTTAGGAACTGATTGTCAACGTACCAAAAGCCTAAGGACTTGGTATAAGCGGACGACTACGTAATCATCGTATAGAGACCAAGTCACGAGACGGTGATGGGGAAAACAACTCCACTTAATCAACTTAGAGTTGAATAGAAGTGTATTTTCTCTCCTAAGGACCATTAACAGGGAACTAACGAGCTAACTAAGCTATGCATGCTCAATTAAGATGGAAGCTTAAGATGAAATTTTGAGGGTTGAGGTTAAAGGTTAAGGACATTAAACTACAGGAGCAATTAGCAAGACCACATTTTCTTATTATATGCCGCAAAGGTTTAAGTGGTATTACTCTGATAACGTCAAATGTAAATTCAACCGTCCAAAGCAGCCGGCCTAGTCGATGATATAAGTGTAGCCAAAGAGTCTTTTCCGACGAAGAAAAGCTACACAATACTAGGATGCATAATGCATTGCAGACTTACAGAATATCTGAGTAGTTACTGTCACAGCTCGTAGGAAATGCCGCCCAGTGGAAGTACTAAGGCGGTATCTTGGGTGCCCGGTAAACTAAAACTAAGTATTAAACAAAAGCGCTACATTATGTGTCTCGCCTTTTGAGTGTTGTCGCTAGCGCTCCTCACAAGGTAGCCACCCACCAACTGCGCTAGTCATCGAATTTGCATGCATATGAGAAGATAGTTAACGGCTATGCCACTGAACCCTCTAGGCTTTTTTACTGGATCTGAAGATCTGTCTATTTTAGGAGCTGTACGGGGGGTTGGGAAATATGCTAGACGTCATGCGTGTCCATTGTTGGTCGCGGGACCACTGGCCTAAAAGTGGAGTCCTCTAGTAAAGGATAGTGTTTATAACAGCTTCGTGGAGGTAAGGATTTGTGTCTGTTCCTCCTTGCCACCTCACCCTCACACCAGTGTTGCCTAGCCACACATATTTAGTTCAAGTTCTCTTCAGCTAGTGGAGAGGTGGAGGAGATATTGAGTGGTCACTCACTTGGGATTTATGTAGGTACCATAGACAGGTTCACAACGAACTTCTGCAGTTGCCGTTGCCGCTCCAGTTGTTAATAGCATGCCTGCAGAACATAGGACTGTAGTAGTCGCCAAAGAGAGATGCCATTTTCATCCCTAATGTTAAAGATCGTCATAGATTCTTCCCGCAGCAGCGATATGGCCTTGTTTTGGGGACCGGAGTGCCCACTCAGTCCTACAGAGAGTTGTGCAGCTTAATACGTTTTGTTCGAAGACGAAGAAGAACACAATACTCAGGCAGAATATGCATAAACGGTGTAGAGAGGGGGTGAGTTGGGGGCTACTGGGATGGCCCAGAGGACATTGCCGCCCAGTGGATGTATAAAGGAAGAGTTGTAATTGTCCGTGGAAACAACGACACGTTAATACTGTTGGTGGGAAAACCTTTCAGCCACTTCAGTATACGTCAAGCACTACTTTTGACTTTTCGACAAGTCGTTAAGTCGCACAGTAAGCAAAGTGTCACCGATTCCGTGTGCTCAAGTCCATATTTCTTCGAGGCAGCAACTGTTCTTAGAAGGCACAAACAACGCAAGTGCTTGTGGCATCACATAGTTATTTTAAGGTTAGTAGTTGGGGCCTTATAAAGGGACACAAAAGGGAAAGGATCGGATCAATTGCAGTGGCTAACTAAAGGCAGGGAATGTTTGGTCGAGGTTTCGATTCTCACGAGGTGCATCGTCTGGGGCAGTAAGGTCATCTCTTCCGAGGCTTCACCAATTCGATTTGCCATGATAGGATGTTGACAGTTTCCAGAGACAATATCAGTCCCTCTAACAATCAGTGTCCCTCTGCAAACCTGCAACATAACGATTAAAATCAACATCCATCAAAGTAGATTAAGTAGATTTCCCCCAGCAAAAATTGTGATTCACCCAGTTGGCAGGCTCGTTTGACTGCTAGACAGGCAAACGGCAGCATTGAAAATGAAAAATTTGGCTAGATAAAATACTTTAAGGAAGTCATTAATTTGCCAACTTTCTGGCAGCACCAATGCATTCAATTTGTCGCAGTCAGATTAAGCCTAAGGGGATGGAAAAGTGTCAAAATGCAATGACATTTAAGTCAAAGGCGAGACTACCGTCAGCTCTTATAGGGGTTAGGAGAGAGGACACACCACTACTATTGCGTTGTCATCAGTAGATTTTAGACGCGGTCTAGCTGTCAGTCCGCTCGCCAACCTTACATATGAAAACTATGCGCGCATGGCAGTGTATGAGAGGGGGAGGAGGGAGAAAGGGCGGTGGATGACAGCATAACATCCTCATCAAAAATGACAACCGAATTAGCTCTTTGGAATATTACACACCTCAAAATTAATGATATTAAGTAAAGGGTAGTTATGATTGTGATACCGCTATTATTGAAGAAGGAGGAGAAATGTCTACTGAGTCCTCCAAAGGGTCCTAAAAAATTTGTCTTAAATGCACTACAGCACACCTGTACGATTACAAACTCTTGGAAAAGTATATGCATCCATCCACCGGGTTACAGTTTGCGGTGGATTAGCCTGCTGTATCATTTTGTCCATAGGGTCAGATTTATTAAAGTGCCCCAGAACCAATGAATGATGTGCAAGTAGAGGCAAGTGAGGAGGCTGGTTACACTGCTATCGTGACACACAAAGAACAAAAATGGGTCGTTGTAAATAAACACTGCACATTCCTCCACATTGTAAATGCAAGACGTGGGAAGTGAATTTAGTGTACAAATGTGGTTCTTGGTAGTCAAAAAGCCTTGAGGAGTATTAAAATCCTTTTAAAGTAACACCGAATTAAATGTGTGGAGAAGCTTTTTTGTCTAAATACTCTGATTGAGCATGTAGTACAATTCCAACTACTGAAGGCGGAGGAAGTCCTTTCCACGCTTATGCCTGCCTGTCAAATAAGTCGTCAAGTGTGTACGGAAGACGCCTGTCTGAATTTCTCGAAAGAATAGTGAGTGATGCAAAAACCCTGCCTTCTAATTCACTTGAAACAGTGGTGGGTGAGTGAAGGAGGAGATAAGGCGGGTGCACTACCAACTATTTGTTGGTGGAGTGCGACGAGATAGTGGAGGGTGGTGCTGTGAAAAGATGCAGCCTTGTGTTTCTCCATTTCATTGTTTGAACAACGTATGCAATAAAACCCCCGTTGTTATTTTTAACCAGAAGAGGGCGAAGAAGGTGAAGGCAAAGGGGAGTCAGGAGCGCACCTACTGATTCGTCGGGTCAGCGTTGTGGGGTAACAAAGGGTGACACAGTGGGTAAATGTATCCTCATATGCCTACGATTCATGATGTTTGACATTAATGTATCAGCTCCCATATAAGGAAAAGAAGACCGAAACAAGGTCCATATTTGTGGCCACCCGATACTACCCTGACAACGAAAGAACTGTAGGGGAGGGGAGCTACTGCCATACCTATAAGCAAGGCCTCCTGGCAGAGGAACAGTGGCAGAGTTCTTAAGTAGTCTGTTACCAAAACTGAGAGTTATGCACACAGTTGGCATGTTGCATAGTCTGGGAGCTAAGAGTCTCCATTTGAAGCCTCCTCCGTCCAAGGAGAGAAAACTTTGTGCACCCAGTATGAATACTAAAAGAATCCCGGGGTTACAAAGAGCTTATTTTCTTTGTTATTTAGCCACCTAAAGAGGATTTATTCTTTTGTGCTTTTAACAGGCATAGTAGTAGTGAGGCTTAGTAAGAAGAGTAAGTTGTCTTCCTGATACTTCTTTCCCTACGCTGGTGGTAATTTATACTCAAGTGCACTTAATTAGGCTATTTGGTTTATCCTCTTTAATTTGCACCTCTCTCATCCCCAACCACCAAAAGGGCTCATTTATTTGAGGCAAAAGTCCTACCATCTGTAATCGCGGGAATAATATATGCTATTGCATCCAAAGCCCCTTCCTGGCTGAATTAATAAGCACATTTGTACTGGAGATAGGGACTACCCTCACGAGACGATATTTGCTCTACTTGGTTGCTTTCATGCCTATAGGTATCCATTATCCTCATCACTTCTCCGAAATGGAATATTACGTAGGAACTTCACATCAGCTCAAGATGCTTCACTGTTAGCAGTGGTGCAAGAACACGAAAGGACTGCGTCCGATGTCGGTAGTTAAATTTTGCAAGACACATAAAATGAGGGAGGTTGTAGGCTACAACTTCAATTTCAAGTTCTGCTTTATGGTATGTCATGAATCAGAACCATGTTTGGAGGTATTGCTTGTAGGACTGCAAGTGCTGATGTTACTTTCAGAGTCTTCTCGTTTAACCGCCAGTATCAGAAGCTGGCAGTCTTTCTAAGAGGTCACTTCACTGTCTCTCTTTTACTTCTATCTCAAAGCTGATCCAAACTTCAAGGGGGCTCTCTGACATCCGAAGGGGAGCAGTGATGGCAGGAATGACAGCGACTATCCTCAAAATTTAAGTGCTTAGAATCTTCGGACCTTTTTTGCAACCTTAGTGTCATGGAGTTCCGGGCCTCTTTTGCAGCCCTCCTACCCCACCTGTAGTTGATAGCACTCCTAATTAACCACCAGATCCGAACCCCGGAGATAAAATAGGCGATCCAGCATGTGCGTTTCCTACTCCCGGTAAAAGAGGCCAACAATTGTTGCCACAGCTGCCGCATGATAAAATGGCATTGAATGGACAACCTCGTGTATCAAATTATGCTAAAGCAGTGATTCGCCGTGTTCTCCCAGGCGCTTTAATGGGCTGATGCAGTGTGAAAGAGCGTACATGCCCAGCTGGAGGAGTTTCTAGTAGGCTAGTAGCCTGGGCCAGGTGGCAGAGTAGGGTTATATCCTGAAGGCTTTTCATTCTGGCATCCTTAGACAGGTTATCAAATCATTATGCATAAAGAAAGTTAGAGTAACTCGCTAATCTCATTCCGAGGTTATTTACCGTTGGGGCATTTTATGGGTCCTAATTTAAAGGTTGTATTAGCTGGGTGAGCCCACCCACCTTGCTTGATTGCAAAGGGGCAAGCCATCACCTTTTCATCTCTCCCTCGATGGATCAACAACTCCTCATCAATTGGCTGAAATTGCAAAGTCAAAGCCAAAGTCAAAAGCAGGATATTGTTCGGTTTATTTAATTGAAAAGCCCAGAATTTCCTTAAATCAGTTTTAGCTAACTGAAACATTTAATTATACTTTCTAGACTCAATGACAAATCGCATTTTACATCCAGGAGATAACCTGTAGGGAGGGTGAGAGGGTGAATGAGACGGAACAGGCATGAATGACACCATTAATGTCTTTTTACAGTTTTCTGCACTGCTGTGGAATAAAATCTCTTGCTCGTATTTTCGTAACTGCACCGCCTTATAATCATATGCTTTAAACATTTGCGGCTGGTTATGATGGTCTAGACGGAGGAAAAGGTAGGATTTGGATGATTGAAAGGGCAGTTGTTAGTACCTGGGGCAAGAGCTAATAAGCTAGCCAGTAAATAGCAACATAGCCAAATGCAGTTGTCGGGAGAGCCTAAATGACCAGCCATGAAGGTAGAGAAGATACCGCTTCGGCTTCCACCTCCTCGATTGTGCCAATCAAACAATGTCACTGACAGCAGATAACGCCTTCGTGGTATCCACATGACAGGTTAGCTTATGCACGGAGTAGGCGTCCAATATAAAGGACTTCCATGTCCTATCTGACTATGGATGGGAATGACTGATTTGGTGGCAGGAACGGGGGCACCGTGGAAGGATTTACCACCGGCGGACATTTGTACAGCCACTCGCAAAATGTTGATACCATTCAAATGTCTTGCTGTGCCAGAACCTCCTCCCATCATCGAAAAGTGCTCCACTCGATTTCTCCTTTGCGTGTCCACTAATTTGACACTTTCGTTGACCTGAAGCTCCGTCTACCACCGCATGCTGCTCCATGCATTTAGTCACTGCAGCAATTGCCTACCACCCTGAGTGCAATCGAAGTCAGTGCACCCAAAGGTACTCAAAGATGCAAGAATTCGAGCATAACTTGAAAGCCTTTTGAAGGGCTGCTAGGTTGACAAAAGCAGCGACTTTAACGAACTTTGCGATACTAGGCGGGCAATCGAAATCTGTTAAGACCGAAAGCCGCTGAATCTATAAGGGCAGGGTAAGTAAGTCCTTTTGTGTTATAGATCCTCCATATGCAACTTTATACACGAGCGTTTAACGCTGCAGACAATTGTAAATAAAAATAAGCTTTCTCTCGAATTCCGACTGTCTAAACAGTCAGACAAATGGTAACCCCAAGTGGTTGACCTATCCTTCAGTTCTTGCAACAACTCTCACGGTTGTAAAGTTCAGAATAAGGCAAAGAAAAGCCGGCTCAGCAGAATAATTGGTTTAACCAGCTTAGCTATATCGCCGATATTAGAGAGCATTGTCCTCTCTCTCCACGTTAGTATTGGCTTAGCTATTAGCTCAAACACATAAAGAAGAAAGAACAGGGAATAGGAGAGGAATTGGAGTTAAGTAGGCAGCCACATTTATTTCACTTGTCCTGCGTCGTGATTGTTATGGTTGGCCAGGTAAGCGACCGATCTTACCTCAACGTACGTAGCGGCAACCCAACTGGTACCACTCCGTAGACAAACCTTGGTAGAAAAGCAGTCTGATTAGAGCTTACGTATCTTGCAATGACGATATCAATGGAGGCGATGTGTGTAAATGGCGTGGAAGGGTAGTATGCCAATGGCTAATGCCTGGATCATGTCTGTACATAACTGTCTAGACTGGGACGTCTTGAGTGTCTGCATGGACTGAGGCCTGTGCTGCACCACCCGCACGGTCGATCTGCTTACAAATGTGGGAGTAGGTCACAATGATGTGAACAAGAATGAAAAGGCAGATTTAGTTTTGGATTTGCGGGCACTTGAGCTCGGCCGCCGGGTCATGCCACTAGCCTTTATATTAGCTATTTTATACGTCAGCCACACAAATTCCGTCTCAGTTTCATGACTTCTTTCGTCTTCAGGTAAGACTCAAGGCTCTACCCAACTGTCTGACTACGTTGGCACTCTTTTCCCGTTTGTTAAACGAACACTCTGCAGCACACCCCCTAGCTGTGCTATTAACAAGGTTGAAGGTTACACAGGCAAAAAGGAGCAAATGGAAGATGTATTGTCAGAAAAATTACACAAATGCAGTTTGCACATTGTTTTCTTTGTTTTTCATTTCATGGTGCTGCTAGTAAAGTGCGCAGCTCATGTCGTCCCTGACTAGATGGAAGAGCAATTGGCTGCAAGAAGGAATAACCTCCTTCTCATTTCCCAACTCAGAGACTTTAAAATGATCGGCAAAATTACAGCAGTCAATTGTATCACCAACTCACCAACCGATGTCGAGAATTTGCCCCGTAAATAGTCGCCTAATGAAGAATTGATACAGTGACCGCCATTCCACCTTCTACGGGCAGAAGTCCTACTCTTGACTCCGTCCCTTGTGAAATCAGTGTGAAGACAATGCCTTTATTTATTTGTCGTCTTTTGCGTTTTATTAACCCCGCTGATTAGGCGTTGTAAACAAAAAAATCATCGCCACATTCGGCCTTTTCCCCAGTATTCACTTTTCCTAATGGGGTTTATTTCTACATTTTTTAATAATTATAATGTAGAACATAGAGAATTCCCTGATGACGGAAGAGGACATAAGACTAGGGCAGAATATGCATTACCGACGTGGAGAGGGGCTGTGGGTCTATTGGCATGGTCCGGACACAATACCGTCTGGCGGACGTATCAAGGTAAAGCCTTAAGCTCCGCCTTAATCAAAACGGCAAGTTAAACAAATGACCAAACTGTGATTTTAAAAGTGAATTAACCAATTTCGCCAAATTTTGACTTATGTGGTCAGAAGAGTGGTTTGCATAGAAATGTGCGTGTAGAATGGAGACCACATCTTTCAAGAGCCTTGTTTTTGTGCACAATTCATTGTTTGGCAAGGTTTTTATCTCAGTTTCAAATAGTTTTTAGTTTAAAAATAGGTTTTTGAGCCAAAAAATAGTCCCCTCCCATAAAACACTTTGCTTGCAAAAATTTTACGCCCACCTTAAATGGGAAGACGAACGAACGGCAAAGGGGAATGCTAAGCGGTGTTTTCTTTGCGGAGTCACGGTGTGGCGAGTTGTAAGGGACGAAAGGATTAGAATATTCAAAAACAACTCCTTGTGGGGAATTTTTTCAACGTCTGGTACTTTTTTTAAAATAGAAGTTCTTTCTCAAAGACCGCTTGACCGAACGCTTTTATTTTCCGTCAGATGAGATAACCCATTTTTGTCTTCCTTTCTTCCACGTTTTGCTGCGGTTGGATTGTTATTTTAGTTTATTTTCAGTTGCCCTACCTGTTTTCGACCCTGCCTCTTCGGGTTTAGCAGCCATCTTGCTGGTGTGGTTAGAAGGTCCGCCCTCATGCTAGTGGTCTCCTTTACTGCTTCTTTGAGGAGAATTAGGCTCATTCTGATGAACAGCGAAATGACGATTTCCCAACGAAAATTGGAGCTGCAATAAAACCGTTTTCCAAAAATCAAGTCATTTACACTCTAAATACCGAAAAAAAGGTGATATGCAGGGCGCTGCTGACGATCGACACTTTTGGTCGCTTCCACTCACCATCACTCAGGATTCCAAGTGCATCCGCATCTCAAACTTGCGATTTGGAAGAAGAAACTGGAACACCTTTGACGGCAGTAATTACGTCAGCAGTTTTGCTTTCCTTTCACTCAGTTTATTTCCAGGGTGAAGCTGTTCCACCATTTTATAGTAGGATAAATGTATCTGATTTGCGAAGGCTTGAATGTCCCCATCTCCAACTGCGGCGGGGTAATACCTCAGCCTTTTCTCCTGAGGACATCAGAATGCATCCCATGCGTTGGCTAAACAATAGGACTACCCTGTTCGAATGAAACAAAGCGCAAAGGTTGTGTTTTTCCCCACCCCTCGAAAACATCGTACCAGTGAGTGTTAATAATTTATCTCCAAAACAAGCAAATGCTGGCAGCGTGGAAGTGAAGGTAGAAAGGAGAGGAACGCTTTTATTTTACAGTAATGTTTTGCAACCATCTTAATTGGGACTGCAAAGGGATGCTACTGTGACAAATAGGTCTGCTCAAACACCATTTCACAGGCGTCAGATAATTGCAATCCTGAATAAGTGCCATGGTGCAGGGAGTTTTGGGTCAACGAAGGCATCAAATCAGTGGACATCAAACAGAACACTTTCTCCTGATGGGAGGTTCTATCACGGTAAGACGTTCAAATGATGCTACAGAGGCCGCACGATTGTCTGTCATTGGGGGTACCTTCCTCGGTGCCTCTGTTCCCACCATCACACCAGTCACTCCTGTCCACATTCCAAAGAAAGACGAGTCTGCCCGTGAAGTGTCGAGTGGACTTATT